TTGCAATACAGTGATTCTGTGATATTCACAATGCGAGATCATCTACAAAATATAAGATCTAAGTTAATGATGGAGAAGAAAAAATATCCCTAAAAAATAAAAAGACCTGAATTAAATATTTATTCCTTGTATTGTGTTGTCTGTGTGTGTCTAGCAACTACAAATGCTCAGTGTGGTATGAGGAGTGAGAGTGCGTGTACTTGACCTACCAGAGACAATGTTGACGATACGATAAGGAATTCCTAGTGACTGGTAGAACTCTTCTGCTGTTCCTATCATCTCATCGAACATCTCCCATGATTTGCCGTCATGCGGTGAGGCATAGACAAACTGCTCAATCTACAAGCAGACGTAGAAGAAACAATGTTTAAAATTAAAAACAAAAAGTACTTTTGTTATTAATGATTTTGAAACTATATTAGTGTTAATCTGACATATTGTTTTTGAATAAAAAATAAATTAAAAAATGTAATTATACAAAAATCACAATTTCAACAAAACTGACCTTCTCAAACTGGTGCACTCTGAAGATCCCACGGGTGTCTCGGCCATGGGAACCCACTTCCTGTCTGAAGCAGGTGGAGAAGCCGGCGTAGCGGATGGGCAGGTCCTCTGGTTTGAGCCATTCTTCCCTCAGGAAGGCAGCGATGGGCTGCTCTGAGGTGGCGATGAGGTATTTCTCATCTATGGAACTGTCATCTGATTTCTCACTTCCCTTTCCAATGACCTGACAGAAACATGTAGAGAGGTTGAAGAGGGAACCTAAATCCATGTATAGACATATTTGTTGGTTGCCAATCTTCTTTTCTGCCACACTCCAATTATCTTCTACTGGATTTAGAGCAGGCAGGCTGCCCAAGTCCACTCAACTCACTGTCATCATCATCAGGATACCAGTTTGACACGGTTGTGACTGTAAATCTAATAACGAGAACTATTCACACAATATCTACAAAAATGCAACTTCTGCATCTCTAATGCACAAGTTTTATATTTTTACCACTTTGGAACAAGTATACTGCATGCTCCAATTCAGAGACAGCCTCCATACCTTGTAAAGCTCTTCATCAAACTGGCTGAGCTGGGCGACTTCCTGCATGACCTCCTTCCTCATGAAGAAAGGTGTGTAGAGCATGGTGTAGTTTTTGCTGTAGAGGATCCTTAAGGCAAAATTGATCAGAGCCTGCTCCAGGAACACCAGGGGACCCTGAACACAGCAGAGAGGAGATAAACAGCTGGTCAGTAAAGGAAAGGAAGAGGAAAGGGAAACCTGGTCATGCTACTATGTGTTACTTTGTTTCTCTACTTTTCTTCATATGAAAACGTACCTTGAGAAAATAACCTCTGCTGCCAGCTACAACTGCTCCCCTCTCGCCATCAAAACCATCGATCATGACCACCAGGTCAACATGGGAGTACTTCTTCTGGGCAGTGCAGTCACCCCAGGTACGCTCCACCTTATTGTCTGCATCCTGACAGCAAACAATAAACAATTTGATTGTATGATCAGAAAATCTTGAACTGACAAGACATTTATTATACTACCAGATTCTGTGAATTACTAATAAGGAAAACATGTGTTTTATTTTCAGATTCACAAAAAGCTCAATAAAATTTATTTGAAGGTTTTAATGAGGTGTTAAAAGCTGTATATGCTGCCAGAATTGCCTGAAAGCCACACTCTCCAAACCTCTGGAACTCTGAAAAACGAATGGAATTATATCAGTGTTTTATGTTGTTTGTGAGGAGAGCACTGTTTAACTGGGAAGACTATAGCATATGAATAACTTTCACACGAATGGTGAGTGACCTTTCACTTTTGGGTGACGTGGACCCAGATTAAGCCAGCAAATACTCCCCACAGCACAATACATTAAATCAAGACCCAAAATACACACAGAGTTGGATTTCTAACTGTAACCCTCGTGCAGTCAGTTACAATTATCAGGACTTGACAGCGAGACACCCTGCTATTTGCTGGTGATCCAGTCTTGTGTCATCAAGTTTTACTTTTCACTTTATGGGTGATCGGCATTAGAAGGTGCAGCTGATAACAGGAAGGGTTAGCTAAATAAATGATTATACTGTTCTTCCCCTGCCTGCAACTTTTCAGTGTACAACACCAGCTCACTGCTGGCTTACAGGACCCCTCATGGTGGCTCTATTTCCCTTGCTATGGATGTGGTAAATGAACAAGGCAGGAAAATTAGGACAGAAAAATCATCATGATATGATGGTGTTTTGATCTGTGCGTGGGCTGTGTCCATATAATGGATGATAAATCAATAACCACATTCATTAC